CCGACGGCCTACGGGCCGACAAGGCCTTCCAAGCTTTCCCTGACCCGTCCCCCGACGCCGATCCAGAAAACAACGAGTTGATTCGCCTGTCCCCCTTTATCCGCTCGAAGGTCCTCTCCCACGGAACATTCGGTGTCTCGCACACCCGCGTCCCCACAGAATCACGACCAGGCCATGTTGCACTTATCGCAGGTCTATACGAGGATGTGTCCTCAGTCACCACGGGGTGGAAGATGAACCCGGTGAACTTTGACAGTGTGTTCAACCAGAGCCGACACACTTGGAGCTGGGGCAGCCCCGATATCCTGCCAATGTTCAAGGAGGGTGCCGTGCCGGGCAGAGTCGATGCGGAGATGTACAGTGAGGAAGCGGAGGACTTCACTGTCGATGCGACGCATCTGGATACTTGGGTCTTCTCCAAGGTCCATGACCTCTTCGAATCTGCAAAGACTGACCCGGAATTGGACCGCAAACTACGGGACGACAAATTGGTGTTCTTCCTCCACCTCCTTGGACTGGATACCACTGGCCACTCTTTCCGGCCCTACTCGAACGAATACCTACACAATATCAAGGTGGTGGATCAAGGAGTCCAGGCCGTCGCAAAGTTAGTAGAAGATTTCTACGGAGATGATAAAACGGCGTTCGTGTTCACCGCAGACCATGGTATGAGTGACACGGGCAGCCATGGTGACGGCCATCCGGATAACACGCGGACACCGTTGGTTGTCTGGGGATCTGGCGTTGCGCAGCCCCAGCTCTCCGCTACCGGGATTGCTGCAGGTCACGAAGATGGTTTCTCGGCGGATTGGGGATTCGACCAGGTCCGTCGACACGATGTAGCACAGGCCGATGTTGCCGCGCTCATGGCCTATCTGGTCGGACTTGACTTCCCCGTCAACTCCGTTGGTCAATTGCCGCTGGACTATCTCAGTGCGAGTCCCAAGGAAAAGGCTCTGGCCGCTCTCGCCAACACACAGGCGGTTCTGGAGATGTACCACGTTAAAGAAGATCAAAAGAGAGACGCGGTGATCCGGTATGTGCCTTATGAGCCTCTATCGGGCTACCACGAGAGCTCGATTGAAGGCAGACTGGCAAGGATTGAAGCACTCATCTCCAGTGGTGAGCACGAGGAGGCTATTGTAGTGTCTGTCGAGCTTCTTCGTGTTGCTCTCGAGGGTCTGCGCTACCTACAAACCTATGACTGGCTATTCTTGCGGACCATTGTCTCTATTGGATACCTGGGTTGGATTGCGTATGCGCTGACCACGGTTATTGATCTGCACGTCTTGCATGGGACATCAGACTCCCACCGGACGACAGCGAGCATCTCATTCTTCTCGTCGATCCTGGCCGCCTTGTTCTCAGTGTTCCTATACCAGGGCTCATCCTGGCGCTACTACTTTTATGCATTCTTCCCGGTTTATTTCTGGGAAGAGGTTTTCGCACGCCGTAAGGCTCTGATTGCCGGCCGTCAGATTGTATTAGGCCACGTGCACTCTTTCACTGGATACCTCAAGTTTGGACTCCAGCTACTGGCATTCCTCGGTGTGATGGAGGCGATGGTACAATCGTATTTCCATCGCGAAATCTTCACCGTCTGCTTTGCCTTGGGTGCGCTATGGCCTGTTTTCCATGGCTTTACGTTTATTCGCAGCCATGTGTTATTGTCTGCGACTTGGGCTCTTGGTTGCGGTTTGATGAGTTCGTTCACTCTTCTCCCAGTAATCAAGGTTGAAAACCTTGATACAATGTAAGTTTACTTTTTACGACAACTATCTTCATGTGACTGATCTGTGTGCAGCACATATGGCGGTTTGCTCATGTTCCTCGCTGGCATTTTGTATTTGCTGTTTGAGGATGCTATCATCGGACATCCTGACCCGGAATCCAAAGAACCAAATGCTATTGGTCGTGTCGGTTCGCGGATCATCATGGGAATTCAGCTTGGTATGGTTCTGCTTGCTGTCATCGTCACTAGATCATCCGTGCTCTCTCTCCAGGCCCGCCAAGGCCTGCCTTTTGGAAACATTGTAGTTGGATGGGTTGTACTAGGTATGTTCACACAGCTGTGTGCCCTAGGACCACGAACGGCACCTTCACCGAGAAATGCTAACCAACTTCAAGTGGCTTCCCTGACGCTTCCATTCTTCCACCGTCTGTATCCGAATAGTCACTATCTGCACCGGCTCATGATCATCTTCTTAACCTTCTCGCCAACATTTATCATTCTCACAATCTCGTGGGAAGGGCTATTCTACTTTGTATTCTGCATCACCATTGTGACATGGGTTCGCCTGGAACATGCCATTTACGTCCATACCACAGGGGTCTTGGAGAAATCCAAGAATCCCGGGGTGACGACCGTCGACGGAAAAACTTTCTACTACCGTACCCTTACTCTCTCCGATGTCCGTGTTGCGCTCTTCTTCTTTTTCCTCCTGCAATCGGCTTTCTTCAGCACTGGAAATGTGGCTTCCATTTCGACCTTCTCCCTCGACAGTGTTCGCCGCCTTATCCCCGTCTTTGATCCCTTCGCCCAAGGCGCGCTCTTGATTCTCCAAATCCTCATCCCCTTCGCCATTATCAGTGCCAACCTAGGTATTCTTAATCGCCGCCTGGAGGTACCCCCCAGCGCGCTCTTCATGGTTGTCATGGCGATCTCGGACATCATGACCCTCAATTTCTTCTTTATGGTGCGCGACGAGGGCTCGTGGCTCGACATTGGCATGACTATCAGCCATTTTTGTATTGCAAGCGCCCTCTGCACGTTTGTGGCGGGTCTCGAGTTCCTCAGCGAGCAATTTGTCAGTGGTGTGGACGTTGCCCCGACAGTGACAGCCATTGGGGCTGCCGTGGTCCAGACTATCGAAGAGGTCACAGAGTGTGGCCATGAGGATCGCAAGGGGCCGAAGAAAGCCCAGTCCAATGGGACCAAACAGTCCAAATCCAAGTCCAAGGGTAAGGGCAAGGGCAAATCAGGAAAGAACGGGTGGTCATAGTTGGGATATGAAACTAGTATAATGCACACACATATAGAGACCCCTGCCCACATCACTTGTATAGGGTTATATTCATATTTAATTGGTCTTTTCCTTTGATCCGACCGACTATAAACGGCACTAATTTGGAGACCTCTTAATGATTTGGTTTATATTACTATTTTCCCTCTGCGATATAACACGGACTTCCATTTACTCCCGATCCGCAATCCTACAAGTGTGATCTCAAGGCATAGTCGATTCAACCCCGGGGATCTCCGGCGAACGGGCCTAGTGAAAGAGTTTTTTTTAGAAAAAAAGCACCTGGTGCCTGACAATGTGTTCTTTACTTTGCATCCTTTCTTAGCAACAGAGAGTGGCGTCAACGGAAATCGACTAACGGGGCACTCTCATTGGTAGCTCAAAGTTGCCGAGGCATCACAAGCTCTCATTCCAGGTCTTCCCCATTGTACAATATGTTACTCCATCACTGAAGAATCTATATGATATGGACTCGGTCACTGAGATTTCCCCCACAACATTTTCCCTGGTCATTTTCGTCCCCGTGTTTTCTTTTCTCCCCCGCAATTTTACCGTTTTTCTTTGATGTTGAGTTCGAGGGCATCAGTTATGAACTACAGTACCTTTTAGATTAATATGTCCGAAACAGTTTGAACACTAGCACATTCAATAAAAAACCCCAAATCTCCTAATCTCCCAATTTACTAGTTTACCCTAGAAACCCCCCCTATACATGTATGTATACATTAAGCGGTGGCCAGTGGGCAGTGGCAGGTCACACAGCATGTACATCCACACATCCCGCTAATCTGTCCCGTGACCGAATATCGTCTCCGAGTTCAGTCCTGAGAGAAATCCCCGACATGAAAGTATATATACAACATAAATGTCGATTCCCCCCCTGAACAACTCCGTATCCTCCCGCGTGGCGGTAGACTCTGGTCGTGGTCATTTTACCCATTGAAGGCATAAAGCTAATACAGGATCTGGGGACCTTTCACGTCCCACATGGGCGAGTATCCAAGAAACCAATCTTTTAGTCGGGACGATCCCCCCGAGCCCGAACGAGGCTGAAGGAATGGTATTTCCACGCAGTGGGCCGGTTTAATGTCTGGGTCTGAAAAGATTGGCAATGGGGGATTGGGGATTGGCACTTTAAGAGTTATATTGTACATATATGTACTCCGTAGTACTTTGTATATTATTGTATATTATTGTATTCTTCTCGGGCTTGTCGATACATAACCAGAATATAAAGTAGTTCTTATGTCCCATACAACATAAAGAAGCATTCCACCAAATGCGACCTCCATCGGTCTTCCACCCCCATCCGTCGATCTCTCCATGTTTTTTTGTGGTCCTCGTTCCAACAGGTTCCAACAGTGCATATTTGGTGGCTTTTTTTATTTTTTTATTCCGTACTCTCTACACCAAGTCATCGGTTTGGCGTGAACCCCTGCGCCATATGATACTGGGTTCTTAGGGTTACCTTTTTGCCCCTTTTCGTCCATTTTTTATTTTTTTTACTTTGCCGACATAGAGAGCAGGGAATAGAAAGGAATGGTATGTGATATCATTATATATTATATATCATTATATAGTTAGTTATCATAATATTATAAGAATAAACTATACATATACATAGTTATGCATAACCTAAGGTAAGATAGTTAAATAACTGCTGACCAAATAGAAACTCCACCAAGAACTTGATATTGCCACAACTTCACCCCAACTTTTGATATTCCCTCTTTCCTCTCCCCCTCCTCCCCCGGTACTTTTTCTTATTTGATTGTTCTATTTTTTCTATTTTCCTTGATCGCGTGGCGTCTTTTGCTGTGTTCAAGATCCTTCTTATCCTCTTTATATCCCGTACCCCGTACTCCCGCCTAACACACTCTATATCATATCGCTTTCCCTTTCCATCCGAGCGCATCCCCTCCCCAATTCTCCGACTTGACCAAGTCTGCAATTCCTGGATGGAGAGACTGTGTGGCAATGAGTACCACTGAATTCCATACCGACCAGCTATCGGATAACCACACCAGCCCGGCTCCGAGCAACGCGGGCTCAACGGGGACTTCGGGCATTACGGTGCGCAATGGTCCACAAGGCCAACCGCTGAGTTTCAGAAGGTAAGCCAGTTCTTTCTGGTACCTGTTTAGTTTTCTTTTTTGAGGGGGCATATTGGCGACTCGACTCGGTGGTGTTCTGGTCTGATAAACGGATTGTCGAGGGGGAGTGTGCGGGCGCAAAGCATGAGGGACAGGGATTTTTTTTTTTTGCGGCTTTGCACTTCCCTGGTGCCTGAAGGGAAACTCTACAAGTTAAGCATTTTTGTGCGCTTGCTAATTCATTTTATCTAATCCTAGACAACGTGCATCACGCGCGTGCGAGGTACGTCTGGATTTTTAGGGAGACGCGACTCTGCCGAGGTTCTCAACCCACCTCGGCTCAGTTCCTTATCGCGATACATGCTCTCTCTCTCTCCCCTTCTTGGATTTGGATTTGGAAAAATGTGGCTGATGTTTCTCTTTTTCAATTAAATTAGACATGTCATGCTCGCAAGGTGAGTTTGCTCTGTCTCGTCTCTTTTTTTTTTTTTTTTTTTTTTTTTGTTCCACACTCTAACCGTTCCCGTCGCTCCAGGTTCGATGTGATGCAGCCAGTCTCGGGGTGCCCTGCACCAATTGTGTCGCTTTCTCTATCGAGTGCAAGATCCCGTCTCTCCGAAACGAAAGAAGAACAACCAGAACAAGAGCAAGGAAGATACTCAGTATAATGACAGTCCACCGCAATCTGCCTCGGTCGCCGACGGGACAGCTTCTCACTTCCGACCCACGAGCATTGAGGATCCAGCCGATTCAGTATCTGGTTCTGTCTCTGCATCCAGGGAAAAGGAGAAAAATTTGGACTCGGATGAAAAGAATAATGCCTTTGGATACCGGAACAACCTGATGGGCGTCGACGGCATGCCCAATACTGCCCTTTCCGAGGCCGAGGCCGCCCAACAAGCTTCGGCCAACAACGCCTATGCCCAATTCATGAAGCCAAAGTTTGCCCGTGCTCCGATAAAAGAAGCTGGCCGAGTGGCGTACTTGGGTGAATCGTCGAATCTGTCTCTTCTGGTTCAAGATCGTCATGGGACAGCAGATGTCGTGCACTACCCGCTCCCACCGAATATCAGAGGATCCCGCGCCCGGTTGACGGACTTGGACAACTTGGAGATTGATATTCTGCACCAGCGGGGCGCATTCCTGCTTCCGCCCAAACCGCTGTGTGATGAGTTGGTTGACGCCTACTTCAAATGGGTGGCCCCCGTTGTGCCGATTATCAACAAGAGTCGCTTCATGCGTCACTACCGTGACCCCAAAAACCCGCCATCGCTGCTACTGCTGCAGGCGATTCTGCTGGCAGGATCGAGAGTTTGCACTAACCAGCAGCTTATGGATGCGAATGGCTCGACCACCCCTGCGGCTATGACCTTTTATAAGCGTGCCAAGGCGCTGTATGACGCTAACTACGAGGATGACCGTGTCACTATCGTACAGGCATTGGTGCTTTTGGGTTGGTACTGGGAGGGCCCGGAAGGTGAGTTTGCAATCTATACTAGTTCTATCTTAATGGCTTTTCTGACTGGTTACAGACGTCACTAAGAACGTCTTCTACTGGACACGGGTCGCTATGGTGGTAGCTCAGGGCTCTGGAATGCATAGGAGTGTCGAAATGTCCCAGCTTAACAAACCAGACAAAAGACTTTGGAAGAGAATCTGGTGGACCCTATTCACCCGAGATCGATCTGTCGCCGTCGCACTGGGACGGCCGATTGGAATCAACACAGATGACTCAGATGTTGAGATGGTGACGGAGGACGATTTCATCGAGGATGAGCTTGACGTTGTCGCCGAATACCCAGCAGACCCTGTTCATGTCCAGTTCTTCCTGCAGTATGTCAAGCTGTGCGAGATCATGGGCTTGGTTCTGTCGCAGCAGTACTCTGTGGCTTCTAAGTCACGGCGTATGAATGCAATGGATCTCACCCACTCAGATATGGCGCTCGCCGATTGGCTGCAGAACTGCCCTAAAGAAGTATGCTGGCAACGCTCTCGACATCATTTCTGGGCGGCTCTCTTGCACTCTAATTACTACACTACGCTCTGTCTCCTTCACAGGGCTCATATGCCGCCTGCCTCATCCGCACCCAATAACTACAGGGTCGAAGAAATGGCTTATCCATCGCGCACAATTGCCTTCCAAGCTGCAGGCATGATTACCTCTATTGTTGAGAACCTACAGGCACATGGGGAGATTCGTTACACGCCTGCATTTATTGTCTACAGTCTATTCTCAGCCTTGATTATGCACGTTTACCAAATGCGCTCCTCGGTTCCTTCGATCGTGGCCACCTGCCAGGAAAGAATCAATGTCTGCATGCTAGCCCTCAAGGATGTATCAAAGGTCTGGTTGGTGGCGAAGATGGTGAACACCTTGTTCGAGTCTATTCTCGGAAACAAGGTGTTAGAAGAACGACTACAGAAGGCTGCAGGCCGGAGACATCAGCGCACGCGGCACGGAGAATCATCTTCCTCCAAGAGGCACGACCCGCCGAAACGCAAATTCGACGATATGGACATCGGCATGCCAAATGGTGGGGGTCCTACACCCCCCGTGTCATATGAGCGCTCCAGGCCCCAAACACCCGCTGTTACCCCCTCCGGGGAACTGAACCAACCCCCTCTCGGCGGTCAATCACCAAACACCCACCGCGGTCCTCACGATCCAATGACCGGCACGGGTAATTCACGAGCCAACACCAGGCCTACAACGCCGTTCAACGGCCAATTCTCTCTACCCGCCACACCTCCCGACTTCTTCTTAGTAACCCGCACCTCGCCCAACCTCTCCCCCTCCCTCTGGGAGAACTTCCAACCCGACCAACTCTTCCCAGACGGCACCGCCTTCTTCCCGGAGCTGACATCGCCACCCCAGCCCGCTACAGTCGACCCATCCCTCCAGATCCCATCACAAATGGCCCCGGGTATGGCCCCTCGCCCTAGTCCCATGATGAACAATCAGCCGCCGCCTGTTTCTGGCCGTAGCATGTCTATCTCACATGGTAGCCCGCCGCTAATGTCTGGACTGCCGGGCGCGATGGGAATGCATCCCAACCCACCGCAGCAGATGTTTGGCGTGGAAGGCCAGCATCAGCAAGCTTGGCCGCCCATGCATGGTCTCGATGGCACTATGAGTGGATCCGCGATGGACGCTACTAGCCAGGACAATGATACCTGGAGTAGTAGTTCCCGTAGTGGGCCGACTGCGCCAACGACGCTGAATGTCGAGGACTGGTATGTCTCTTTAAAACTTGTGGTTTTTCTTTTAAAGACATTCTCTTGCTAACATTTAACAGGTTCCAATTCTTCGGTATCAACGGCGGGTTCGGTGATCTGGCGGCATGAACAATCACGATCTAGAATATGTTGTTACGTGATAGTTAGTGGGTTCACTCTGTTCCCAGGTATTCTAAGCCGATTATAATCACGATCGATAAATCGCCGGAAATACATGTCAAGATCCTGGTTCCACCTCCAGGGCGCTTTTCCTTTACACTAGACTAGGAGCTGTAGGTACGTCCAATATAGGTAGGTCTGCGTCTATAACTAGCCGTCGGTACTTAGGCTTAACTCACCGCCCTTTTATCACCGCTTTTTTGAAACATATACGCTAATCTCAATTTGTATAGTAGCGTATTGTATTGAACATGTATAGCTATGTATAACTACATATGTAATCTTGAATTACTCTCTCTCTACAATACAATTCACTTCAGATTCACTTCAGATTCACTTCAGATTCACTTCAGATTCACTTCAGATTCAATTCAGATTCAATTCAGATTCAATTTACTTTAGCCTAAATTACTGCTGGCAATATGAACCAATGAGAGAGTTATGTGCTGCTTAGTCACCCATAATCACGGGGCCTAGAACTAAGGCCTTGTGGTCACAGCTCCCTAACCACGGACCCACATCTCATCATGACAACAACTACCCCTGCATATACTTTTAAGCTAGTAAACTTGGCGTTTTATTTCATCCAAATACTGTGTTTTTCTTACTAAAAGAACTTACACATTGGTGTAGATGGTATATGCAATACAGCGCGCTAGCAAATATTAGCGTAGACTTGGCAGTTCCACATTGACAGAATTCTGACTGGAGAGGGTAACTCCTTGTTCGCAGCAGCATTCATCGAAGAGCTGACAACCCATCCCGTGGGCCGTATTGACCGGCATTACACCAGGATGAGGGAAGAGATGAGTCACGTCTCACCCAACCAGGACACCTGCACCCCTCTATTGGTTCCATCGAGCAGAAGTCTGTGATCTCACAATATAGCCCACTTCGTCCTGACTCCAAATATCGCAACCGCTATCGCGAACCTACCATCGGACCAGAGCCGCCATGAATTGCTTCCAATCGCGCTCCAGGGCGCGGACATTCTGGGCCAGGCACCGATCTATTCAATCGACAGGGCAGGCGCATGCCAACGAGGCATCAGAGGGTTCCGATATGGAGCTTGGGCTCATCCATAGCTACCTTGATGAACTTGGCAGCGCAGCAGCAGGTGGAAATCGCTGCTTCCCAGCTACCGCTTGTCATCTTGTTATCGATGGCCGTGTCGGAGAGGACATGAAACACCGTATTGTCAAACACCATTGCGTGGCAGGATACCCAAATGTTACGGGTCGATGAACTTCTAACCCTTCTCATTGATAAAGCGCTGATATCACCGCCACTTGATCAAAGGGCTTGCCGTGAGTTGGCTAAGAAGGACTACGAAGCTTGGCTGGTGTTGGCATTAAGGATCTCTGATATCCCCGGGGTTAATGAGATGCATACCCCGCCGTTCCATGACGATCGTTACCTCGATATCGTCTTTGACGATGCCGGTGGAATGTTGGTCGATGCCGTCTATTGTGAGCAGGTCTTGAACCCCATGGCCTTCGACATGGGTGAAATTGAGGCCACTATTCTTGCTTTCCTTCAACAATCCCCAGCCGTCTGATCGACCTGGATCTGACATGGACCTATTCTTAGATAGCTTACTTTCTATTGCGAATCAAGATATTTGTTCTCTATAGTTACAGACTGATGATTTGACTTCCCTTCAACTAGATCTGAATTCAACTTAGGCGGATTTGGATACTTGTGAGATTGAAAAGGCTCAACTGGCAGCTCAGCTGACAAGTTGCCCGACGAAGCCCTACTGTGAGTGATACTATAGTCTACCCATCCATAGCTTACTCATACTTCTGTTTAGGCGATAACGGTTATAAAGATGGAGAACGGGCTGTCCGTACACTTTACCTGTTAAGAGTGTACTTGGCATGCAGAGGGAGTTGGGATGGAATATACACAAATTTCAATTGTTTGGTTTCAATTGCTTGTCTTCATATACCCTATTTATATCATTCTACCCCCAATAGTTATATTGTAGAGTACAATAGTTAAGTGCGTGCCTGATCGGCCTTGATGTATCTAAAATGACCCTGGGGGCCGGATCCACAACGCGTCAAGTCGCGTCGTATTTATCAAACCACTTGATCTCCTTTTCTTCTATTCCATTTACCCATTGACCCAATTTCACCATCTTCCATTATGCCTCCCAAGAGAAAATCAACCGACTCCGCTGCTGGTGGCGCAAAGAAGTCCAAAGGCCCAGCAACCGACCCTGAAGTAGACGTGGAAACCGAGCGCGCACTGAACAAGCGGTGGGCCCCTGTCTCTGTATCCCGCAACGCAGATGCGGAGTTCAGATTGCGAACCCGCGACCCAGTCAAGGCTTTTACTTTTATTTGTCTGGGACGCGCGCCTTGGAAGACGGAACAACCAGAGGATGAGTTCGAGGACGATGATGAGGATGAGGAAGATGAGGAATCTATAGAGCAGAAGAAGAAAGATGATGCGGTTAGTGTCTTACTATTGAGGAGAGAAAGATCGGTCTCTAGTGCGGGCGATAGCTGATTCCACATCAGGAGGCGGACGATGCCACTGCCCTCAAGCCTGCTTCTGAGCATCCAGGAGAGAAATGGATCTTCACCAACGCCGGCGTGTCGAAGTGGATCACGCTGAATCAGGGTACTGACGTGCGCGACCCGGATAGCTTTAACATGCATATCTACAATGACTCCTTTGGATATGCCATTATGGAGTTGGTGGAGAACCTGCTCTTGGATTTTGATGAGGCGAAGGGTGACTGGAAGATGCAGTGGGCCATCTGTGAAGCGACGGCGCTGTATTTCCAAACGGATGTTATCATGCCGATGGTTCAGTTTGTCTCACTGGCTCCAGTAGAATATTGAGTGTTAACTGAACGCTAACGAGTGGAATATAGCTGTGATGACGGAGATACCGTGAATGCGATTTTTGTCGCGTTCGCCACAATGTTCCTTACTATGCTTGCTACTCTGGAGCGAAATGATCTCTTCAAGTCGGACTCTGAAGTTAAGAACATCGGGGCCATTATGGGTCTGTTCATTCGCTTCATGGTTGATATCGAAGCGTACGGCATCGACTGGGATGGCCAGTATGCGGATATCGAGGCTTATGCCGCTAAGCACGATATCACAATTCATGGTTTGAATCACCCGAGCTACGAGAAGCCGTCTGATGAGACGGTTGAGCTTCCCGAGGCTACGGCTAATGCCAATGATCCCTGGGGCTGGAAAAAGACATTAGCAAAGCTGAAGAAGAACAACGGTGGGCGTATAGGCGGTGATTCGAAGGACATCACGTCCTGGGCTCCTGCGGAACGCAAGAAGGTGGCTTTCGACAAGAAGGATCCCCTTTCCCGGAGCATCATAACTCATATCAAGAATGGTCGGATCATAGGGATGGGTTACTGAACGGCTGTGCTTGTGTGTACATTAGGATCATAAGGTTATTACTATCGGAAGGATTATTGTATATCCATATGTATCCATGATACCGTTTGCGGGTTTTAGTATGGCATGGTCATCGCTCACTGTATCCGAGATAACTAAATGCCCCAAACCCCCAAAGGATCAGACCCAATATCGCCCCTTAACTGTTGCAGCTTCTTCACACGTCTAACTAGAGCCCCGACCAAGATCGGACCGATCAATGTGCAGAGCGAGATCGCCCAGATGACCACTAGATATATCTCAGATGGTCCTTGGGAAGATCCACTGGAGAATATTCCTTGGCTTTCGGCAATTGAAGCAATGAGATATCCCACTTCGCCTCGGGCGACCATTGCCAATCCCAGGATGGAAGGCGGGTACAGGGACTTTGGTTTTGGGGGAGGCGGGAAGTAGATGTAGGGGGTCTATTCGTCGATTGAGGCTCGTTTTTGACATTATGGGGTGTTGAAGCATCTGCACTGTCATCTTGAGTTGCAGGCCTTTGTGTGGCTTTGTTTTGATTCGACTTTCTGCTGATTCTCCGAGGACTTGCACAGTAGGAGCGGGCATGTGTAAATGGTTTCTTGATGGTAGAGATTAGACCCGACACAGGGCTCGGGGAGAATCGAACAAGCCATAGGCCTGTGATCATTTTTCCAATTGCCATCAGCATGGCGTAGATAATCCCACGCCATACAACTTGACCTGAGAACATTTTGGTGATGGGGATTGCGAATCCGATCGATGCCTACTGATGTTAGTACGTCCCTTGTCAAATCGAATGAAGGGACTCACGAAGAAAAGAGGGAGAAGGATTCGGTTGACCGGCTCTTTATAATATGTGTTGTAGATGAGTTCACCTGTAGGTGTATCATTATGGGTTATTTCTGCCTCTCGGGGATGTTGCGTGGGCGAAGAGGGGGTTTCTTCAGCACGCCGGTTCTTGCTATTCTGCGTGCTTCCTTGGTGGTTGGAAGTCTGCACGTGAGATGCACCACCAGAATGCAAGACAGGGATTGGTTCTTTCGCTTCAGCTACCAGCCCATCAAACCAAGAGACAATCACTCCAGCAAGGTAGGCAGCAAAGAGGCTCGAAGTTCCAGCATATGTTGCACCAGCCACGATCCCAACTAACACACACGTCTGCCCAAGAAAGGCAAATTGTGCGGTCCCTACAAAAGCTGGGAACTTGGATTTGCAAGCAAGCATTTTTTTTAATCCTGGCTGTAAACAGAATGCACACAGCAATAGAAGACCAACAGCGAACCCGACAGAGACAAAAACAGGTCGAATGACAGTCACAGCACTGAATGAAGCGGTACTTCCACCTAGATTTGAGATAATTTGAACCATGACCAGTCCAACCACATCATCTAGCATTGCAGCACTAGTGGTGACTGTACCGAGCCTTGTAGTTGTCAGCTGCGTGGTTGAGAGGATGGTAAAGGTGGTGCCGAGACTAGTTGCGCTCAAGGCTGCACCGGCAGCGAAGGACTGAAGAGATGTCGCTGACACGAGTTCCTTGAGAATGAATGACAAGCCCATTGGGACACAGATTCCAGTGATGGCAACGGCTGTCGATAGAAGGATGTTTGCCTTCAAGGACTTGATTGAGGTTGACAGACCACCTATTCACTGTAAGAACTTATATCCAACAAGTATAAAAGGGATTGCACACACTTACCTTCGTAAATCAAGAGTATCAGGCCTAAATACCCAATCTGCTGGATCACTCTTTCTATCTCTTGATCGAACCATTGTGCTCCGGGCGTACCCCATAGGACACCGATGAAGAGTTGACCAATTAATCCACAGTAGAGGAGCTTATCCAGGCAGGTATTGACTATGTTTAGAGACAGAAGAAAGCCGGTGTAGTTGAGGACTGTTTCGATTGATGGTTCGTGATAGGCGAATGCCGCTTCCGATTCCGATGTCATTTTTGTTGTTCCTATCTGGATAGGTCGTTTAAGAGCCTTGCGTTTAAAAAAAACATAAAAATAAAAAAAGATTATAGGCTCTGAAGGAGGTATAGTATGTTTCAATTGGATATGCAAATAAAGGGAAGTAAAAAAATGGTTGGCCGACCTATAGGAGTCAGGTCGATGACTAAGGATAAGACATCCATGGATGGATTGATACTATAACTATAACTAACTACCTACCTAGGTAGGTAGTTAACTAACTAGTATATTGTAAAAGCGCAGTAGATGTCTTCTAGTTGACTTTCAATAATTCATATAATTCTTTGCTAGGGATATACACAAGACCGAAATTTGTTTTATCAAAGAAGCAACTCTTGAGATGAATAGACAAGCTAACTATACTAACTAGGATTGATATCAAATGTATAGTTTCTATTCATCGCCACTAACTGTTCCCCTTCGCTTTCTTAATCTATATATATATATCTCTCTCTCTCCTATAATCATATTAATATACAACATATAAGACACATAGATGTTGACTCATAAAATCTCCACATACCTGCATTGCCTAATTGGGACTAGCGGATGACGAGATCGCAATGGTCGTGATTCAACCAATCAGCGTCGACTTGGGACGACTCAGCTTGTCCGGGGGGAGAAGAGATTCTGAACTGCTTGGGTTTCTTTTTATTTTCTGTCTCTGTCTCTGTTTCTGTTTCAATCTTTGTTTCTATTCTCCTTTTTGACTTCCGACATATTCGCATCTTTTGACTTGTTTGATTTCAATTATCCTCAATTATCCTCTACACGCACATACATACTGTTCCTCCTTCTACCCCCCCCGCTACAGCGATGTCGGCCTCAGGATCCGGAATTCCCAATGCTGCTTCAGGGTCATCTAGCGGTGTAAAGAAGAATTTCCCTCAGGTTGACCTGTCAGGCAATGACCTTCCACCTTCCCCTGCCCCCTCTAGCCCTCATACCGGTCGCCGGTACAATATTGCCACCGAGCTGGTTTTCACCGAGGGCAGTGACCAATACAATGCCAGCAGCGTTCCTATCTATCAGGTACAGATTCACTCCCGGATGACACAATGGTGCTTTCATTTGGCCATGGATATTAATCATATTGAACCATATAGAGTGCTACCTTCAAACAAACCTCCAACGCCGGCGGTGGAGAGTATGACTATACACGATCCGGAAACCCCACTCGCACACACCTTGAGCGTCACTTGGCCAAGATCATGTCGGCACAGCGCGCCCTGGTGGTGTCCTCCGGCATGGCAGCCTTGGATGTGATTACAAGACTTCTCCGCCCCGGCGACGAGGTGGTCACTGGTGATGATCTCTACGGTGGCACCAACCGTCTGCTGAAGTACCTCTCGACTAACGGCGGAATCATCGTGCACCACGTCGACACCACAGATCCCGAAAAGGTCCAGGAGGTCCTGAGCTCAAAGACAACCATGGTCCTGCTCGAGACCCCCACAAACCCCCTGATCAAGATCGTCGATATTGGGAAAATTGCTACCGCCGCCCACGAAGCCAACCCCGCCTGCATTGTCTCTGTGGACAACACCATGATGTCCCCCCTTCTCCTAAACCCACTCGATTTCGGCGCCGATGTCGTTTACGAAAGTGGCACCAAATACCTCTCCGGTCACCACGATCTGATGGCTGGTGTAATTGCTGTGAACGACCTGCAGCTCGGAGAACGCCTATACTTCCCGATCAACGCATCAGGATGCGGTCTGTCGCCGTTCGACTCTTGGCTGCTTCTGCGCGGCGTGAAGACGTTGAAGGTTCGCATGGACCAGCAGCAGAGCAATGCCCAGCGCATTGCCGAGTTCCTTGAGTCGCATGGCTTCAAGGTGCGCTACCCGGGTTTGAGGTCCCACCCACAATACGAACTTCACAATTCCATGGCGCGGGGCGCCGGTGCTGTGCTCTCGTTCGAGACCGGTGACACGGCCATTAGCGAGCGCATTGTGGAGAGTGCCAAGATTTTTGCTATCAGTGTCAGCTTTGGCTGTGTCAACAGTTTGATCAGTATGCCGTGCCGTATGAGTCATGCTAGTATTGATGCGAAGACGCGGGCGGAACGCGCTCTCCCTGAAGACTTGATCCGGTTGTGTATTGGTATTGAGGATGCTGATGACTTGATTGACGACTTGCAAAGAGCGGTATGTATTATGTGTGTCCCTTGCATAATTTGGATTTGTGCTAATCTTTTTTTTTTTTTTTTTTTTTCAGTTGGTGCAAGCTGGTGCGGTTAATGTCACTATGGATGGTATTGAAGCTCGTTAGATATGTAGTTAAGATATTGGTCATTGGCGTTAGAGGATTTCAAAATAAGAACCAAAGTATAATGAAGCAAAGCTATACTCCATTATCATAATATGTCTCGACCATGTAGATGTCGACCAAAACAATATAAAAAGCCTTGGAACAGGGTTTAGCCGATAAGCTTATCGGGCCGGCATCGGAGAGCCGGCGCCGGGTCGCGCCCGGGTCATTCTCGTCCGAAGTTGGGGGAGATCAACGATGAATATAATACTCCGTACTCTCTCAGATCTTGCATTTGTAATTCATTTGCTGTCATTTGACCTTTGTGTACTCTTTTACTCAATGCATAATCTCTCTCTCGTCCATATATGAGCATGAACCGGGATGCTGTTACGCAAGATACAATATTTACAATGGCGACAGTAAAGCAGGAACAGGGCCAGGAACGTCAAGGACAGACCCCCAGCAAACGCTCCACAACTTCAACATGGAATACCAAGGATCTAGGCAAACGACTCGGCGTTGATGTCGCTAGCGCCGCAACAGCCGGCGCGCTGACCTGTCCATTGATCACCATCATTGATCGGTATGTTAGCTATCACAGCTCTTAGGTGCTATTATCGAATACAAGGCTAACCCTCCCAGGGCGATCATGGAAAAAGCCTCGAAGGGCTTCCCAATCGGCCAAACAATAAACAACTGCCTCCGATCGATGGTCGCTCGACCCAGCAGCTTCTTCTTCAGCACTCCATTCATCCTCATCTACAC